AAACTTTGAAATAAAAAAAAATTTCAAAGTTTGTATCAACCAAAAAAAAAAAAAAAAACTTTTTCTCCGTTTCATTTTCAAACGATATTCTCCACTAATATAATGTATTGGTCGTTAGCACTCTCTGTATATATTGAGAAAATGATGAATCGAGCAAAAAAAAAAAAAAAAAAAAAATGGGAGAGAACCAGAGAAAAAAAAAGTCATCACTAATCATAAATGCAATTAGTAGTATGTGAATAAAAAAAATTTATTTGCGTGATATTAATTTTACACAATTCCATTGCATGAATTATCATCATCATCATCATCATCATCGAAATCATTATCGTCATCAATGAAAAAAAAGAGTGAAAGCAAAAAAAAAATTCTGAATACCGAAATTTTCATTTTCATTTTCATTTTTCTCTCATTTCCATCATCATTATTGAGATGTTATTAGATCGACGATGCATATGTTGTTCTTCATCATTGTTGTTGCAACAAAAAAAAAAAAAAAAAATCATCCTGATGACGATAATGATGGAAAATTTTCCTAAATTATTGGCAGCCTGAGGTTGTGTGCTGATGATCGTTTTACACACAAACACAAACACACATTAACAAAGAAAATAAAATCATCATCAATATACAAGGTTTTTATTATTCTATACATCACTCTACATTTGGAATTATATATTTTGATGATAATTATGGTTAGCCAAAAAAAAAAAAAATCCAGAATAAAAATGAAAATTATGTAATATCAAAATTGTTAAAATGATTCACGTAGCGACATCTATTATCTATATTATGAAAATGATTTAAACATTTAAGAAGTAATCATAATTTCAATCAATAGATGGCGATAGTTGGTCTATAAAAAAATGAAAAAAAAAAAGTTTCAATCATTATGTAATTCAATAGTTGTGTCTGGTAAGTACAATCAATGGAAAAAAGTGAATACTTTAACACATGGCTAAAGTTGAAAACAACAAAAAAAAACTTTTTCATCACCCATTTTTTTTTCATTGTGTGTGTGTGTGTGTGTGTGTGTGTATGGATGATGATGGAACAAACATCGTCAAAAAAAACACACACACACACCTCTACCTCAGTCATTCATCAACGAAATAATTAACTATATTAGTATGGAACACTGTGTGTGTGTGTAGATATCATTGTAATAATATGACGATGTAAATGAAATGAAAATGAAAAGTAATGGAAATCATAAAAACCTAGAAAATAGGTATATTCAAAAAAAAAACAAAAACAAAAACAAAAAGTCAAATGACACTTTTCAAGATTCATTTTCTTCTACCCAACCCATTGTGAGCCATTGTGTATTCAATGATTCAAAAATGGAAAATTTCACACCATGTGTGTATGGATGATGATGGAACAAACATCGTCAAAAACACACACACACACCTCTACCTCAGTCATTCATCAACGAAATAATTAACTATATTAGTATGGAACACTGTGTGTGTGTGTGTGTAGATATCATTGTAATAATATGACGATGTAAATGAAATGAAAATGAAAAGTAATGGAAATCATAAAAACCTAGAAAATAGGTATATTCAAAAAAAAAAACAAAAAGTCAAATGACACTTTTCAAGATTCATTTTCTTCTACCCAACCCATTGTGAGCCATTGTGTATTCAATGATTCAAAAATGGAAAATTTCACACCACCACTGCCATTATTATTATTATTATTATTATCATCATCATCATCAAGATCAATTATTAATAACCATATATATAGATGATGATTAAGTAGGTAGACATTTTCACCGTTGCTTTCTTGCTGTGTGTGTATTGTTTTTCATTTTCATGGACAACACCCTATGTTTGATGTTTGATGATGATGATGATGGGCGATGAAAAAAAAAAGAAAAACATCTGGAACCTAATAATAATTTTCCATTATGAAATATTTTTTTTCCCTTTGTCAACAACAATAATCGTACACACACACACACAAACAAAACTAAATCACCGGAATAAATACCAGAAACTAAAGAATTGAAATGAAAATACAATAAAAACAAAAACAAACAAAACAAAATGATTGAATTGCATTCATTTACACAACATTCTTAACCACCACCACCACCATAATAATAATAAATGAGATAAGAAATACCAGATTCTTTTTTTGTGGGGGCGGGGAGGAGCAAAATTCGTTTGTTTCGAAGAAAAAAAAACAATAAAAAAAACAAAGTAATTATTTTTATGACAACCATTCACTGTCATCATCATCATCATAATCATAAAATTATTCTTGTAGCCAGAATTTAGTGTATTCAACGAATGGCAATGAACTTTTTTTTTTGATTTTCAATTTTCAGTTTATCATCATCATCATCATTTTATATATTGTGTTGTCCTTTATTTATATATGTAAACATTACAATTCAGATTCAGATTCAAATATTTAATATTGTCCAAAAACACAACACAACCACCACCACCACTACTACCCCCTTTTAAAGCTACTTGCAGTAGTAATAACAAAAAAAGTAAGCAAATATGAAAATGAAAAAAAAAAATCATATAATTTGGTCAATTTAGATTATATAACAAGCAAATAAACAAACAAAAACAAACACACACACACACACACATACACGGAACAGGCCATTGGCCATATTATCACGCTTGAATACATCATAAACACTAAACACACACACACACACACACAGAGAGAGAATTTTTCAGCTGACCAGAATAATGGAATATGTTTGTTGTTGTTGTTGAATAATAAAGCAAAAAAGCCAGCTTGAAAAAAAATAAAGAATCGATAAAATAAAAATGAATGATGGATAGTTTTTTGCCACTTTCATCAAGAACAACAGTTTTATGTTCATTTTATTCTGTGTGTGTGTGTGTGTATGTTCACTATAGAATTTAAGAATATTTTCCATGAATCTTTGTCTTCGTGTTTATAGTATGATTTATAGTATTATATATACATACAGTTACTATACCGACGAGAAACAAACAAACAACAACAACAACAACAAAAATGAAAAAGAAAATAAAAAGATTGTAAATAATCATTCACAACGATGAAATAAAAAAAAAGAAAAAAAATTCTTCGAAGAAGAATAAAAAAAATAAAAAAAAAAATGAGCCCAACACAACATTTTTATTATTATTATCATAATATTGGTCTAGATTCTAGAATCTAGAATCTAGAATCAAGAATTTTTGTTTTTCCCATTTCAAGCCAAAACAAAAAAGTGTAAAAGTTTGCCTATTTACTTTACATTATTATTTTCCATATATCAATATATCAATTTCATCGTAAGAAAAAAATGGAGAGAGAGAGAGGGTGTTTAATGTTTTTTTTTTGCTCAGGCAAAAAAGAAACTTGTATCACACACACACACACACACACACAGGAAATTGACAGCAGTGGTGGTGTGGTGGTGGTTGTGTGAGCATCATCATCATCATCATCATCATTGATTTTCAATCAGACAAGATATAACTTGGTAAAATGGTAAAACATACCACACACACACACACACACACATGAATGGAATAATAAATACGAAGAGAGAGAGAGAGAGTAAGTAGTGTCGTGTGATCTGATCCGATTATTCAATTTGAAAATTTGCAAATAAACCATTGTGTACAAATCAATAAGCTTGATATAAAAAATAAAATGAAAAAATTTGAAAATGTGCAAAAAAAAACAACCCTTTGATTCGCTACATTCTTCTACTGTTTTCTTTGGATTTTCAAACATGCAAATCCAAAGAAATGTTATTCAAATTTTCAATTCTCGAGAATATCAAATTAAATTCTTATCACATAAATTGACAAATAATGGAATACATTAGTTTGTTTTTTTTTTTTTGTCTAAAAAGACAAACTTTTGTTTTTTTTCTTGTCGTTCTATTGTTGTTTTTTTGGTTGGTTGAATTTTTTTTTTTTTTTTTTTTTTTTAAAGTTCAAAAAAATTAGACCATCCAAATGCAAAATATCACACACACACACACACAAACACAAGAATACTGAAATTGAAAGCCAACACAATGCAAACTTTTGGGCCACGAATAAATAAAACGCCGACCGGATGGGCCGAAATTGAACAACAACAGAAACAACAACGACGACGACGAAAAATTTTTCTAAACTTTTTTTTTGCACAACAACAACAACAAAAAAGTCTTAAAGGATGTTTGATTTGAACCAAACAACCAAACAACAACAACAACAACAACAACAACAACAACGACAACAACAACAACAAAATAGAAAACAGGCAATCACTAGTCTAGATTTTTAGAATATTTTCCTTTTCAAAGATAAAAGTACCCGATTTTAAAATTTTAAAAGAATTTAAATGTCCAGTAAAAAAAATTTTTTTTTACATCTAAATCGATGATATTTTTCATGTGTTCTATTAATTCTCACACACACACACACACACACACACGATACAACACAATAATAGCCAGAATAAAAATGGACCATTTGAACTCATAATGATGGAATTTTGCAATCGTAATAATGAAAAAAAAAATTCCACAGAATCAAGCATTGTTATATTTATTTATTTTCATTCACAATTCTTTGTCCAGTATCAAATCAGATCAAATCAAGTAGTTGAGTACACAGTACACAGTACTGTACAGTGAAAAGTTTAGTTCAGTAGGTAAGGTTTTTTTTTCATTGATTCAAACAAAAAAAAAAGAAAAAATTTGGTCAAATCGAAATTGGACATCAGCAGAAAACCCCTAGGGACCTTTTTTTGTAGATTTATTTTCCACACAGTCATCGAACGTATCGATGATGATGACAAAATAAATTTCTTTCATTGTAAATTGCTGAGCATTTATTTTTTGGTTTCATTTTTCTTATAATACACTGAAACACTGCCACATGTGTATTGCTAAGTATTTTATTTTTTTCTAAATTCTTCAGAACAAAAAAAAGAATCTGACCAAAAAAAAAAAAATGTCAAATGCACTGAAACAAACACACACACACATAGAAAAACAAAGAATATCGATATTCTTTGAAACAAAACAACCGTTACAATATCATAATGTTATTGAATTATTGAGAATGAATAAACACCTGAAAAATAAAGGTCAAACACACATTATTATGGTGAATGAAACCTCATATATAAATATATTGACAGGTAATGTAATGAAAAAGAAAAAAAATTTTCACTAAACTTACCGATTAACATTGGCCAATGTATGACGTCTATTACGTAATGCACGATTCAATAATGCTTGCTGTGCTAATGATCGATCACCACTGCCGCCGACGCTGCCACCAGCACCACCAATACGTTGTCTATGTTGTTGTTGTTGTTGTTGTTGGATATGTAATAATGGATTATTCATTAACATAATTGGATTTGTTTGCATAGATGATGATATCTGTTTTGTTGGTGATAAACATCGTTGATCTGATAATAATTCATTATGACGCTTATTTGTATTATTATTTTTATTATGTATATCTGGATGTGAAAAATCTAATTTCCTTTCACGTTTTTCATGTTGTTGATGATCATTTTTCACTTTTTCCGTTTCCGTTTCCATTTTATTATTATTACCATCTTCTTCATTTTCTTCTTCATCATCATCTTCGTCTTCATCATTATCATCGTCATCATCATCATCATCATCATCATTATTTTGTCCATGATCATTATTGATAATAATTTCTTCTTCAATGCTTGTCATCATTTTGATGGATTTAATAAATTTGTGCATGTGCAAATATGGATGAATGAAGAAGTAGAAGAAAATTTACAAATATTCAACGGCAACACAAATGATGACAAAAAAAAATGACAGTTGACAAGAATTGACAAGAATTGACTTGACTTGACTTATTTTTTAGCACATGAGAAATAATTTGACGAGGTTGACAAACAAAAAAATGAATCTGAATGAATCTGAAAATTATTAAAAAAGAGAGAGAGAGAGAGAGAGAGAGAGAAACGAAACGAAAAAATTAGAAAAATTAGAAAAAATTCCATAATGGACATTCTGGTGGAAATTCTGTACAATTCCAGATTCAAAGAATTGAGTAAAAAAGACAAAAAAAGAATCGTAAAGATTCTTTCCAATTTATCACTTATTAATATTTTACGTTGAATATACGACATTATATTATCATCATTATTATTAATGGCTTTTTTTTCTTCTTTTTTTTTGGGTACGGTACCATCGAATGATTTTCTTTCGTTTTTTTTTCTGTGTCTCTGTGTCTATCACACTGTTGATGTACATTCAAAATTGCTAATTAAAAATCAACGAAAGAGAGAAAGAGAAAAGTCAAAAAAATCATATTCTTCCATTCATCCACTTTTTTTTATATATGTTAACCATGTCAAAAGCATCGGTTCCATGATAACAAGCAAAAAAGAAAAGAAAAGAAAAGTCACCTGATTTTTGGTGAGATTATAATGAAATTGAATAGAACAGAATAGATGTGCAAGCGTCAAATGCATTTTTTTTTCCATTTGTTTCATGGTTATGGTGCCATAGTGAGTGAATAGCCCAGATATGGAGAAAAATTATTCTTATCAAGTGGCAGCAATTCTTTTTCTTTCTTTCTTTTTTTTTACATAAAGAATATTTTCATTCATTCATTCATGAATTCTTGTTATGTAATAATGAGAATGAAGAAAAAAAAATGACGACGATGATGATGATTAAATGACAATTTGCCATACATGTGTCATTTTTTTTTCGTTGTTGTTGACAAACACACATACACACATACACAGTGTAAATTTGCAATGAAACAAAATGGTAATTCTTGAGAAAAACAAATTGTGAAAACAAAACAAAACAATTTCAAACTATCTCCAGAATGATGACCGATAATGATAACCAACGAAATGCTCAATATCAAATTGAGCGAATCGATCGTGAGAGAGAATGAGTGAAAAAAAACTCAAATAAAATTTTGTTTGTTTGTTTGTTTTCCAATTGTCAGCCATTGTTGTTGTTGTCGTTGTTGTTGTTGTTGTTGTTGTTAATGTTATTATTATCATCGTTTGGTATCTAGGAGAATGGAAAGAAAACCAACCTAACTAACCAGATCCAGAATTTTTTTTGATCATATCGATTTTTTTTGATGACAAAAAGAATGGCAAATAACAACAACAACAACAACAACAAAAATCTAATAAAAATAACAAGTTCATCATGAGAAAATGGATCATCATCCAAATGATAATTTGGGTTTTGGCCTTAAGGTATAAAATTCTGTATCATCACCATCATGATCGTCATGGCAAGAATATTATTACATGGTTACAAACATAAACATAAACAAACAAACAGAAAGAAAGAAAAATTAATTAGTTTCACACTATACATTTCATGTGATGATCATGATGTTACGAAATACGAATATACAAAGATATTGTTCAGTAGTTGTTTACTACTGGTCTCATTCTAGGAATTTTTTTTTTTTTCAGTTTTTATTTCATCATTCTGTACAATACAGGTAATTTTTCACCACAGGTAAGTATTCTAGTTTTTTTTCCTGCTAAATTCATTCATTCATTCGTTTGTATCCGGTTGAAAAAAAATTCATTCCTTCACGGGGGATAGAGAAAAAACAACAACAGGCAAGCAAACAATTCCGGAGTCAGTCAGTCTGTATATACACACACACACACAATGAGACAGAATAAATTATTTCTCTTATTGAGCTGATTATAGAAAATTATTTTTAGAATATTCCTAATTCTTTTCTTCTTCTTTTTTTTAGTTTGAGATGATTCTGATTCCATGTGCCCTTTCGTTTTCGTTTACATTTGGATTACATTTTTATTTTTATTTTTTTCATTCTTGATCATTTTTTTTCCAGCGTTGACATTTTCTTATGTTCAACAACAACAACAACAACAACAACGACGACGACGACGTCGACGAATGTTTTTTCTTTTGTTATTCTGTTTCATCGTAGAAAAGTCTCGCCCATCATTCAGTTGTGGATATTCTTGACTCCCAGATTCAATTTCCATTTCTAATGATTTTTTTTTCGATCAACGAATGGAAAAAAATTATGAAAATCTACATTTTTAGAGTGAAAAAGAAAAAAAATCCTTTTTCAATGTCATTTGGTGGACATTTTCTCTTCGATTTGGTTTGTTATCGAAAAAAATTCTTTTCTTTCCACTCTCAGATGAGAAAATTGAATTTTTTTTTTTGAACCACATCTCTGTTTTTGATGTGCAAACAAAAACATCTTTCGATCCAAAACAAAACGAAAAAAGAAAAGATTAAAAATTTGACTTTTATTTGTATCCATGTTTCTGGTAATCATCAATATCATTTTGTTGACAAGATCCAAGATCATAGATAAACAAAAACAAACGCACAAACACACACAAAGAGAAAACTGATATATGCAGATTATTATTTTTTACATTCTATTTCCCTAATGAAAAAACACACACACACACACACACACACGCATCACATCACATCCGATTACCAATTATATAATCTCAATAGAGAAAAGAAGACGAGCAATCAAGCAAGAATATTCTGAAAAAAAGCAAACAAACAAAACAAAAGTTTAACCTTTTATTGAATAAAACAAAATAGAAACAAAACAAAAACAGAAAAACATTGTAAATTTTTTTTTTCTGCAACAAGAATTTAAACCAGTGTCATGTTTTATCGATTAATTTTTTTTTTTTTTTCGTTTGTATTTCAAGTTTCATCATCATCGTCATCATTATGACAGAATTTATTGGACCAAAAACACACACACAAACAAAATCTAAATTCAATCTCTACATTTATAAGTGAGTTGTAAGAGGAGAGAAAAACTTTTTTCATTTTTTTCTGATTCAAGTTAAAAAGCAATTTTCAGTGTCTCTCTTCACTGATTCAATACATAGACATTAATAATAAATTCAATCAATGCACAAAACACACAGGGGAAATTATCATTTTCATTTGGCCAAAAAAATATATCTATTTTTACGTTAAAAGAAACAGAAAATTTTCCCTTGATGATGATGATGATACATCATTCAAGTACATGGCACTTGATGGTTAGTATTTTTTTTTGTCAATTTTGATTGATTGAGAAACAACAACAACAACAAAAAAAATCGGCTAAAATATCGATTTGAACGTCATCAATGATGACGATGATGATGATGACGAATATGTCAGAAAATGTGACATTCAAAAAAAACAAGAAAAATCATCATCAACAGAAACAAATTGGAAACGATTATTCGAATGGGAAGAAGAGAAGAAAAAAGGATTTTTTTCAGTCTGAATGTTTATTATTTATTTATTCGTATTCACATCAAAATCAAACCAAACCCAAACCCAAAACGATTGGCGATGATCATGATCATCGTCATTTTTTTAGAGCATTTGGCATTGAATTTTTATCATCATTTTAAACTATTGGATAATTGGATAATTTATTTATTTTTGTTTGTCAACGAAAATTACACACCTAGAATAAACATCACACCATTAAATTAATTAAATTGATTAATGTCCATTTTCGTTGAATATTAAAAATCGGAATTTTGAAACCAACGTTGGATAATTATAGATAATTATCCACTGGCCAAAATGGTCATTTTAATCACAAACTTTATACATACGCATCAAATTAATGTCTGTACTGCCACACAATTATGATGGTCAAGAGTTCTGTTTATATTGATGTTTTCAGTTAAAAAAAAAAAAAAAAAATGAAAAATGAAAAAAAATCACAATCCACATTGATATTGTTAATAGGATTTGTTTGTGCGTGTACACTGTGTACTAATGAAGTAAAATAGAAAAAAAAAACAAGCCAACCAATAATAACAAGCCGGAAACAAAGAATGTCGTCGAATACGATTAACAAAAAAAAAAAAAAAAAAAAAATCCGGGACTATAAATAAAAATACCGAAAAAAAGACCACCGAACAACACAAAAGTACCTAAAACATGCACCGAAAAAAACGGAGAGAGAGAGAGTGAAATACAATAATCCATTATCAATTGAACTGGAAAAAAAATGAACACAACACACATACAATGGAAAAAAAATACAATCATTCGTCATTCCATAGAATCCAGATCGATTCTTTGATAGATTAAAAATAGCCAAAAATAATTGCCATGATTATTATTATTATTATTCCTGTTACCAGAATTATTTCGATGCAAACAAACTGAGAAAAAAACATTCATCATCATGATGGTGATATTTCACAATCATCAAACAACAAATGAAACAAATGAAAATTAATTAAATTAGACACACACACACACACACACCATAATCATTATACGTGTGTCATGTGACAGCAAACGATTTTTTTTTTTCTTCAAATTACACTGAACAAAATATATTCATAAAGCACCAAAAAAAAGTCCAAAAACCCAAAAACCAAAAAAACTAAAGCTTATGTTTGTGTAATGTAAAACGGCAAAAAAAAAAAAAAAAATTCTTATGGCCCATTTCTTTATGATCCACACAGCCATAGAGGCCAACAAAAAAAAAAAAACAAAACAAAACAAATAAAGAAATTGGACCCATCAGGAATATCAAC